AAACCTGGAGCCAGATATGGGGTAAATTCTGAAAGATCAGTAAAGGAGCCAGCCACTAGAGAGACTTCTTCCTTCTGCTAAAAGGGCCGAGAGCTCCTGTCTCCACCCCACCTTATCACTTCCTCTCTCCACCCAGCCATATCACTTCTTGTTTCCTCCTCCTAAGTGCCGGGATTAAAGGTATGTGCCACCACTGCTGGGCCTCTAGTGGCTTAGCTCCACACACTGATCTTCAGGCAAGCTTTATTTGTTAGAGCACAAACAAAAAAATCACCACAGTGTGGTGTCTGAATTCTTATTCGTTTCCTTCGCTGGGGGCGTCTGTCCTGACCCCAAAAGTGTGTGGTGTCTGTGTTCTGTTTACACAGTCACTGGCTCTCCTCAGTTCAGATCCACAGGTAAGTGCATTTCCTTAAATCGTGGAAAATCGAGTTGTCTTGCTCTCTTCCTGTAGCCGAGGCCTCTGAATATCAAACCCCGACGCTTCCTCCCCGGTGTGAACCTGAGCTGCGCAGGTGTTTATTGAACTGTCACTTCACACTAAATCCCCTGGTTTCATTAAGTGAAGCAACACCTCCAAGTTGTAAATCTAAAGCTAGCTCTCAGCAGAAGAAAGGATAAAAATCTCAGTCCTTAGAAACAGAGAGAACTAAATACAGCAGCCAAGTTTGAACCTAAAACCCAACCAAAATTAAAAACTGCTGGCAGGATACACTGGAAAGGATGAACTCTGACTCTCTCCTGGAGGGTGGGCATGGGGGCAAAAGGCAGAGGAGGAGAAAGAATGGTAAGGAAGATCTTTTTTTTTTTATAAACCTTGAGCTTGGTTGTGTTTTCTGTATACGCAATCATGAAAAAATATTGGATATCCAAAAATGAAGACTAATGACACAAAGCGTGGGTGGGTTGCCTGACGAGGAATGACCTTGGCTTTCGTTACATCGCTGCTTATAACCAGTGTTGTGCACTGTTCTGCCCAATGACACCAGTGGGGATGCTATGAGATGTATTGATGGCCCTATAAGATATTTGCAGCTGTTGTCCCATGTGAAACAGCTCCAGGTGACAGTGGGAGGTGAAGAGAATGAGGACACAGTGTACATGTAGGACTGTGACTGCTGGAGCGAGAGGAATGAACCAAGAAACCTTTGGCCCCTCCAATAGACAGACAACTCTAGACTAAAGTTCTAGACAGTTCAAGATTAAAATTCTTCATCCACTCACTAAGCCAGCCAGTCTAACATTTGTTTCTCTAAGGCAAAACTCTGTCAAAGCACCCAAGGAGGCCTGCTAGTTAGTTTTTGAAAGCACATTATTTGCTGTAACACGACCCACTCATTTGTTCATATTTTATCTATTCCTTCTTTTTAAATGGCAGAATCAAGTAGTTGCAGCTGAGCCTGTGTAGCCCACAAAGAAAAGCATTCACTCACCTTTGTCTTGAGTTTATCTCCATAGTGTGTCATCACTGGATATACGGACCTCCCACTAGTCACAATTTGCACATGTCCTACATACAGGAAAAAGAAAATAATACAATAAAGAAGATAGGGAGGCGGGGAGGACAGGAGGGCACTCTCAACAAAATCATACGCTGTTGGTGAGGATTATCCAAGAAAGGGATCTGAGTGGGTTTCCAAGGAGGGGTTTATTGAAGGAGGTTCTTGGCAATTCTAGGGAGCAGTGAGAAGTGGGGGGAGGCCTAACCGAACTGCAGTGTAGGGTCTCAGGTCTCACCACTATGGCTACTGCACAATGGGACAATTCTAAAATGGCAGTGTTGGAGTTGCTGTGACAGGCAGGACTCTGTCCCTGGGCTCAATCTTGCAAATTTTTTCTGTTGTTGGCTGTGTTCCTGGTGGTTATATGTGATCTTCATACTTCACATCCACTTGGTGAAGGCCACCCTCTTGCGTTATTTGTATTTCCTTGTTTTTGTATTCAAGTGTTTCTCCTATCAAGAGCCTGTCTAACTAGCCAAGTGTTCTTGAGGCAACATTTTCCTTCATCCTACAAATTTGGTTCTGGGTTGTGATGGTTAACCTTTATGGTTGACGTGATTAGATTTAATTTCATCATGGGAACATATCTATAGGTGTGTCCGTGTCAGTGTTTTCAGAAAGGCCTGACTGAAGATGGAAGACCACCCTGAATGTGGGTAGCACACTGGTGGGTTGGGACTTTTAACTAAAGAAAAAGGAGGAATTGAACCGAAAACCAGGATTTCTCTCTCTGGTTCTTGTCTGCAGATAAAGGTGACTGTGTCCCTCACAACACTGTCACCATACCTCTCTCCATTGGTGGGCTGGAACCTAACACTGTGAGCCAAAAAGTCCCATCTATCTTAAGTGACTGTCTTAGTTAGGATTTTATTGCTCGGAAGGGACACCATGGCCATGACAACTCTTATTAAGGAGAACTTTCAATTGGGGCTGGCTTACCCTACAGAGGTTTAGTCCATTATTGACATGGCATGGAGGATGGTGGCATGCAGGCAGACATGGTGCTGGAGAGGTAGCTAAGAGTTCTACATCTGGATGTGTAGTGGGTAGCCATCCCAACTTTGATCTGGAAGTTCCAACCCCCATTGAGGCTTTGGTAACTGTCATGCCTACAAGGCGGGGCCAAGAGAGGACCCTGAAGACCTGAGATCCGATGCACCATCTCTCTTAGTTCCTGGACCTCTGGTGGAGGTAGACGGAGCAGAGTTCTCCAGAGAACACCGCCGGACTACGCTGCTTCTTTCCCAGACCCTGCAACCTACCTATCCTTTCACTTGTAAGTTACGCTACTAAATAAACCTCCCTTTTAACTACGTGGAGTGGCCTTAGTAATGTCACCAATATGGATGGGCAGGCAGCAGAGAGACTGACACAGGGCCTGACTTGGGCTTCTGAATCCCCCAAACGCAACCCCAGCGACACTCTTCCTCCAACAAGGCCATGCCTCTTAGTCGTGACACTCCTGATGAACTCACGGGGGCCATTGTCATGCAAGCCACCACATGCACTTTTGTTTGGTATTTTCTCATAGAAACAAGAAAAGTAACTAGCTCATGGGTGAAATGACCGAAGTTCTTCCTTTTGAGAGAAATTCTCTTTACTGTTTCTCTTCAGGGTCACTGGATAGGCAGGAGGCCATGGAATACTTATTCATAGTCTAGTTTTGATTTGTCTTCACATACCAAGGCAACCTGCTGTGGGATGGTCTGTATGTCAAATCTGTTGCTCTGATTGGTCAATAAATAAAACACTGATTGGCCAGTGGTCAGGCAGGAAGTATAGGCAGGACTAACAGAGAGGAGAAAAGAAAGAACAGGAAGGTGGAAGGAGTCACTGCCAGCCGCCACCATGACAAACAGCATGTGAAGATGCCGGTAAGCCACGAGCCACATGGCAAGGTATAGATTTATGGAATGGATTAATTTAAGCTATAAGAACAGTTAGCAAGAAGCCTGCCATGGCCATACAGTTTGTAACCAATGTAAGTCTCTGTGTTTACTTGGTTGGGTCTGAGAGGTTGTGGGACTGGCGGGTGACAGAGATTTGTCCTGACTGTGCGCCAGACAGGAAAACTCTAGCTATAGCAACCAGCCTTGAATCAAGCTCATGCTTTTAGATCCATCACTGTTTCATCGTAGGTTGCTCTGTGTAACCACTACACTGGGAGCTGAAGGAGAGGTGTGAGTGCAGTGCATGGGTGGTTGATGGCAGCATTAATTAGTACTAACTGATCATGCTTTCTTGGGCCTTAGGTCTTGTATCCGGGCCCAGATTTAAAACTCCTATTTGATAAATTGTGTGTGATCTTCTGATTTTGTAGGTTTGGCAAAACTAAGCTCTTAGGAAACAGTTCTGCAGCTCATTCTTTTGACATATCCAGGTCACGCTTTTCATTTTTACCAAGATCTAGAGGTTGGCCAAGAGTTATCCTTTCAAAATGATGGAGATTTCTCTGCTGTAGATGGCCTCCTCTTGCTAGAGAACCCAGGATGTCTACATAATGATCATGCCATCAGTAATTTCCTGTAATCTCACTGGGTTTCTTCCCACTGTAGATAGCATAATCTCATTTTCTGTCAGGTGCTCTGGCTAAGTAACAATGCAGATGGCAGTATGTATACTCTAGTGGGGCTACAGATCTATGTTCTCCTCTGAGAGCATGAGAAAGCAGTAGATTTCCTTATAATTAATACATACCATCAGGCTGTTTTGTCATAACATTTTTATTTTTATTTTGTGGTTGAGTATAACAGTCTGGGTTGTCAGCGGTGATTTCTCAGTGTAGGCTTTTGAGCTTTAAAGGTTTCTACATTGTAATTAGCTGTGACTCAGTTCAGCCTGCCTCTACAGATGACTTATGTGATTCACATCAGCCTGACTCTACATATGACCTGTGGGACTCAGATCAACCTGCCTCTACATATGACTTGTGTGACTCAGATCGGCCTGTCTGTACATATGACTTGTGTGATTCAGATCAGCCTGTCTCTGCAGATGACATGTGTGATTCACACCAGCCTGCCTCTACATATGACCTGTGGGACTCAGATCAGCCTGCCTCTACATATGACATGAGGGACTCAGACTGGTTCTATATATCACTTGTGTGATTCGGATTGGACTGCCTCTACATATGACTTGTGTGATTCAGATCAGCCTGCCTCTACTTATGAATTGCTCTTTCTGTCTTGCATGTTCAATACTCTTCTTTTGTCTATGATTTTAGTGTTTTAACTATAATGCGTCATGTAGGTTTTTTTTTCTGGTCCTGCCTGTTTGGAGTTTTTTGAGTCTCTTGCATTTGGATGGGTATTCCTTTCTGTAGATTTGGGGAATTGTATAATAGGAATATTGGGATGTATTTGAAAATGATGGAGCTTTTCTCTGTGCCTGGTGAGCTTGGCTTGGAAAGTAGGAGCCTAGGAACTCAGCAGCCACCAAAAGCCATCTGAACTTAGTGGTTTTCTGATTCTTGTCTTGTGAATTTGAAGAGTAAGTTTCATGGACCACAGAATGTTAATTTTAGATGGAATTTTATTATAGATTCATAGAAGTTTCTGTTTATTTTGTTTTTGTGTGTTTTCAATTTATCATTATGAATCTATTATAGATTCATAGAACTTCAAAGAAGGAGGGATTGAGGGAGAAAGGTATTGATGGAGGACAGAGGAAGAAAAGAGAAAGAGAAAGAGAGAGACAGACAGAGAGACAGAGAAACAAAGACAAGAGAATGACAAATGGAGAGATCTGTATAGCAGGAGGGGCATCCAGAAAATAGGGTCCTATCATGTTCCAAGTCTCAGGGCTTTGTTAAAACATTGATGACAGACACTAGGATGTGCTATGGGAGGAGATAAGCTGGACAGGCAAGCTGGTGTTCACAAGAGCTTCTTCTCAGTTTTATCCACACATCTCACACAGGTTTTTGGCACAAGTGCTCATTCAGGAGATAACAGAGAACCAGGAACCACGGCTTTCTTCTGGCATTCCTGGTCCCCAGAAAGGACATCCTCAGAACAGTAGCTTTGGGGTTCCTGCCATACCAGGTGAGTTTCTATCTCTCGTCCTCATTATTTTTTATTGAAAATATTATCTATGTTTTTGGCCTGGAGTTCTCTTTCTATGTCCATGATTTGTGGGTTTGTTCTTTTCATGGTGTCCTGAAGTTGCTGTTTATTTTGTTTTCGTGTGTTTTAAAATTTATCATTTTCTTTAATTGAGTGATTCAGCCCTTCTGCCATGGCTTCAGTCTCTGATATACTGTCTTCATGTCCCATTTTGCTGGTGAGGCTTTAACTGAAAAATTTTTATCAGGCTTATTGAGTTTTTCATTTTTTGCTTCATTTCACTCTGAATTTTCCTTAGCATTTCCTTCTCTCTGTTGGATTCAATTTTCACATTTTTCACTGTCCTCAATATTTCATTCAGCCACTTGCTATTGTTTTTGTGGACTTCAATTACTTTGTTCTTGTCCTTTTAAAGCTCATGCAAGTGTTCGTTTCATCATTATAGTCTTTGAACTCATTAAACATGTTTACTATTGTCCTTTTGGATTCTGTACCTTTTACTTCATATATATTGCTCTCTTTATCGGACAATGCTATGAATTGGTAATTTAGGAAGGGGTAATATTGTTTTGGTCTAACTTCTTGTTTGTTTTTGTGGTGGGACACAGGCAACCGGCTTTAGGCCGTTTTTTTAATTTAATTTTATTTTTTATTGTTGTCCTACTTTGTCTCTGTGTTTCTATGATAAAAACACTGACCAAAAGTAACTTGTGCGAGAAGAAGGTTTATTTCAGCTTACATGTGATAGTTCATGGCAGAGGGAAGCCAAGGAAGCAACTGCATGTAGAAACTTCAGTCAGAGATTACAGAGGAATGCTGCTGACTGGCTAGATCCTCCTGGATTGTTCAGCTACTTTTGTTATACAGCAATAGGCCTATCTGTCCAGGGATGACTTCATATCCAGTGAGCTGGACCTGCCTGAATCCATCAGCAATCAAGAAAATCCCCCCTTAGACGTGGCCAGTCTGATGGGGACAGTTCCTTACTTGATGTTCTTGCAATGTTTTAAGTTGACAACAAAGATTAGTCATCACAGGGTTTTTTTGGTATGAGGTTTTCCATGCTTATTTTCTAAGGGAAAGGTTGGGTGTGTAGTGATTTATCCTTCGTTTGTGGCAGTTGTCTGGGTTCTAGGTCTCAGAAGGTGAGTCGTTCTGAGGTAGGCTAGAAATGCGGAGACATGAGAAGGGAAAGGAGTCCCTCACCCAAGGATCCAGTGGAAAGTTCTTGCCAACAGAAAACCACGAGTTCCAGCCCAAGCTACAAATACTGAAGACCTTCCTCCCTTCCCAGCTGGAAACTTGTGTACTATAGATTGGCTAAGAATCTCACACTTGAAGAAGCACCCATTGACTCAGAAAATGCATGGACTAAACCCCTGTATGAACCCTAATGGCTGCTGGGTTTATCTTCATGTTGGAAACTAAAAAGAAAGAAGGATCTAGGGCCAGATCTATTTTAACTCTTCTTTGAAGATGCTCTTTCCTTTGTATCTAAAGTTTAAGGACAGATTTGATTACACAGAGCACAAACAGGCCTTGGTTGTTACAATCTATAAAGCTGAGGAAGAGCCCTGCGGGAAAGGGCTTAGTCTTCCAGAGCCCATTTATTACCTTTTCCAGCATTCTGGTTACTGCTAGCTTGCTCTCCCCCAACCCCTGGCCCCCATCATGTGGATGTCAGAGGCTGATGATGTCATCTAGAAGTGAGCAGCAATTTCCTATTTTGTTGAGTTTCTGCAACATGGACTGAGTGTGTCCAAGGAATTGACCCCCTGTATTCCTTTATAATGTCATCCCAATGCATGGGGGTGCTACATTCTGCCTTGTTTTCTTCTTGAACTATGACCCTAACTGAGCATGCTCAGAGGTATGTCTATTAAATTCATTGTGCACAGGAATATTTCCCACATGGACATATTGGTAGGCTTCCCTAATAATTTCCTTACCCTTTATTTGAGGAAAATATGGCTTTGGAAAATATGGCTTTGGAAACTATATGCTTATTCTCTTTGCCTGTTGAAGGTAATAAATAATTCTCTATTATTTTATGTCTTGGCTGTGTTGGTTTTGACTTTGTACTCATCAGGATATGAGACCATTGTGTAGCCTCGTTGGTTATACTATCAAATCATAATTCCATCCAAGACATCTCTTGGACCACTGTATAATGTCATTTATTCAAAGAGGGGGAGAAAAAGGAAACTAAACGTTTCTTAGCAATATTTTGAGTGAGTCATAACTTGAGAGTCATTGAAATGACATATATGGATAATGATGAGACAATTAATTGCAACTATTCCTTTAGGAGCTCATACGTATGTCTCGATTGCCCCTACTCTGCCTTGAGAAGCACAAGCCCACATTTGGGTTTGTCTTTTCTTTGCTTTCCATTGAGAAATACATGCCTACACTATTAAAACATCTTTAATAGAACTCAAACTCAGTTCCAAACTGGTTGTGCCTGGAATTCTTTTCTGCACTGAAAACACAAATATAGGTTTGGAATGAGTTGGGCTTCCTAAAAGATTAAGGGAACTCCTTTGTCTACTGAGGATGGCAGTGTGGGACTCTGTCTCGAGCCCTTTGTGGCAGATATTTCCACCATTGTGTGTGTTTTACTTTCTAGTTGCCAGAGTATGTGTCTTACTATGACTTTCATTTTTAGTTGCTTCTCTCATCTCATCTGATTGACATGTTACTGATATAATGGACCAAGGTAACCATGCTGGATAGTTTTATGTCAACTTGACACAAGCTACAGTTATCTGAAAGGAGGAAACCTTAGTTGAGAAAATGTCTCCATAAGATATGGTTGTAAGGTATTTCTTAATTAGTGGTTGATGGGAGAGGGTGGTGTCATCTCTGGGCTGGTGGTCCTGGGTTCTAGAAGAAAGCAGTCTGAGGAAGCAATGAGAAGCAAGTTAGTAAGCAGTATTCCTCCATGACCTTTGCATCACCTTCTGCCTTCAGGTTTCTGCCCTGTTTGAGTTCCTGTCCTGAATTCCTTCAGTGATGGACTGTGGATATGGAAGGGTAAGCCAAATAAACCCTTTCCTCCTCAGCTTGCTTTGTTTCATCATAGCAATATTAACGCAAACTAAGACAGTAACATTCTAAAGAATGTAGAAATACATTGCAGAATTTTTCCATGTATATATTTTCATTGATGCTTTAGGAAATAAATGTGACACATGTAAGACATTATAAAATGGTATTTGTTTCTGTACTTAGAATTATTTTTAAAGTTTAGTGGAATTGCATTAAAATTAGAAGTATTTTTGACTGAAGTCTATTGAATTCAATCAGAAGTGGAATTAGCCATAGCATCTTTGAACCCTGCAGAAGTGAGCCTTTTTATAGGCTCCACATTTTAGAGGCCAGTGGTCTCCTACTCCACAAGATGAAGAGTCTCTGTGGCTTAAGGGGTTGTAGTTGCCTGGATCTCATCATCTTCCATCCCCTCAGACCATGCTCTAGGCTTGGAGTTTGGGAGACTGCCTCTTCAAAGACCCCAGTATATACTTCCTAACTCTTTATTGACTCTTACTCCTCCAAGTTTGTGTTATGTTTGCCTTTGAGAAGATTAGATGTTTCATTTAATATAGAGCTATTCTAGTTAAGAGAATACTTAATTAAGTATTAGTATGATACAACTTCTTACTTAGAGCATAACATGATCATTACATTGCCTTCTTGGAGTGGTAACTGCCTTTGCCAGGTACCCACGGCAACTAATTGGGCAAAACCAATGTAGAGATAGCATGTAATGTCTATGATGATGTTAGGGCTTTCAAGGAGAATGATAGAGGGAGCATCACAGTGGCATTACCAGGGATTCCAGCCATTACCCACTTCCTAAATGCAAGCGATCTTAGCAGATATACATAGGATTAACTGAAAATTGGGCTCCATGATATAGCTTCCATGAGGCTGTTATTCACAGCAGGACAAGACTTTGAGGTGATGTAGTTATTTTGTAATTGCCCATACTTCTGTATGTAACCCATCACTCATGCTCTGTAAGTAAGTCCAATGAACTCATTGGTCCATCAAATTAGACTTGGGTTACATCATTACTTAGATAAGTTGTCAGTGTCTTATCTTGGGTAAACAGATGTTTTGCTCATGACCCTCCAGGAAAAGTTAATGCAGCAAGGTGTTTTATGTGCAATTAGGAGATAAAATCCATCTGTAAACTCATTACATCATTTGGGTCTCAGAAGTTTCTCTTCTTTCCACTTAGGGGCAGAGTAGCATTCCAGACTTCTGCATATTGCTGAGTTCATGGGTCTGAACACTCTTCTCTGTTTTCCCAGAGAAAATAAATTCCTATTCTGACCCTATCTCCATAATATAGTAATAGATAATATTAAAGCCAACGTATGTAGATTGAGACAGCTAATCTGCATGTAAATTATATATAACTCATGTGATATTACTTCATTCCAATTGTTTAGAGATTTAAATATCAAGTTTCATAATTATATGAATTATATGGGAATTTTTAAACATGGAAGACTCCTATTTGTGTTGCTTTGAATAGTTCCCTTGCAGAAGCATGCACAAGAACATTAATAAATATACTTAAATGTTTATGATGATAATGCTGATTGAGGAAGATGTGCTTCAGTACTCTTTGCAACGTTTTCCAAAAGGTGTAATTATAGCAGACAAAAAAGCTCTATTTGAAAGACTCTGATGTATTCGTTGTAACTTGCAACAAAACTATGTAATTATTCTCACAGCTCTTTAAATATAAGGATTTGTTCCCTTGAAGCCTGAAAGCCCATCTGTGCTCAAGTCTTATTTCCCTGATGTTAAATGCCATAGCACTTGGTATTGCATCTTTTAAGCTGCAGAAGCTATATTGAAATCATTCCCGTTTCCATTAGCTATAAACTTAATACCACAGTTTATATTCCTGGAGTCTACCAGGGTGATTTCCTCTCAGATCTCACAGGTACATACCACAAGCTCACCTTGTATGTTTTCTGGGACTTGTCTCCAATTAGTCTCATTTCCTAAAATGTCTCTTTTGAAAACACCTGGAGACCAATGGGTGAGACCTGTAATCATAAGACAAACAACATCTAAATGTGATGTGACAACCATAGTTTATTCAGTTTCTTCATGTCAGAACATTTTTACTTTCAGGCAAAAAACCCAAACTAAGTAAAACCAAACAACTCACAAAACCTTCTTTTATCACTGTCCACAGCCACAGAGTCAGGTTGTCCTGAATGACATGTTCTACTGGAGAAGACACAAGGCGGAAGAATGTCACAAACCAGTATGTTTATCAAATACACAGGTGAGGACACCAGGTAGGCAGATTATAACAGGGTGGAGAAAACTCTTCCATAAGTTTTAGATCTTAATAACACGCTTACCTTTAGGGTTTGTGGAAGACTGTGTTCTTCTAAGTTTAAGAAAGCATTCCAAAAGTTTTACCCAATCATCTCAACTATGTTAGGTTGTTTGGAGAGATGTAGTACATATCTATCAAGGATGTTAAAAATAGCCTGAGAATTCTGTCTCTTAATCTGCAGCATTCCTTCTTTCCACAATGCTGGGGTTCTAACCAGCCATTCCGCAGAATCTTCACCACAGTTGTGGCCTCTTCAGATAACCTCAGTTCACACCCAACTATAAAGTATTTCAGTACAGAACTATTCACAGAAGAAACCGATCTCTGAATCTTCAGTCTGTTGTCTGGGGATGATTTATCAGCCAGTTAGAATGGAGGCTATTGGTAACGATTTGCCTATAAGGTGGTTCAGATGTGTGGCTTAATTACTTTCCTACTGCTAGGATAAAACACCATGACCAAGACAACTTATAAAAGAAAGTATTTATTTTGGGGTTTAGGGTTTAAAGGTTAGCATCCACAATGGAGGTACAGTCATGGCAGCAGGAAATGTTTCCATCTTGATCTGCAAGTTTGGAGGCATAAAGAAAGAGGTACTGGGAACAAGAGGAGTCTTTTGAAGCTTCAAAGCTCTCCCCGAGTAATATACTTCCTTCAAAACTGTACCTCCTGATTTTTATCAAACAGTTCCACCGTCTGGGACCAACTATTCAAACCTATCAGCCCATGGGGGACATTCTCATCCAAACCACTATAATGTGTTATTGAGGAAATGTGAGTTCGAATGACCACAAATCTCTGCTTTTAGTTTTCTTTACTCTCTATTCTTGCTATTTACCTATCTATTTTTATCTGTCTATCTATCTATCTATCTATCTATCTATCTATCTATCTATCTATCTATCTATCATCTGTCTTTCTGCCTACCTATCTTCTTCACCATCATCATTTGTTATAACAAAAAAGATACAGATTCACTGAGAAGAAAGCTGAGACCATTTACTCTTCAAAATGAGCTTTATTAGGAGAAAGAACTTCTTGATCATGGTGTGTTGGGGGGCAGTGAGGGTGACTGGGCCATGAGGTGGGAGAGCATTAAGAAGGATAGTGTATTATTGTACTTGTGGCATCATGATGCATGAGTACTTAAAGGGAGGGAGGAAGGAAGAAGAGAGAGAGAGAGAGAGAGAGAGAGAGAGAGAGAGAGAGAGAGAGAGAGAGAGAGACAAAGACACAGAGACAAAGACACAGAGAGAGACAGAGACACAGAGATACAGAGAGAAACACAGAGAGAGAAACACACACAGAGGCAGAGAGACAGAGAGAGACACACACACAGAGAAAGAGAGAAGAGAGAAGAGAGAAGAGAGAGAGAGAGAGAGAGAGAGAGAGAGAGAGAGAGAGAGAGAGAGAGAGAGATCCTTTAACAGTCCTGAAGAGGAGCTTCATTAGTAGAGATAGCTTAAAGCGGGAGAGAGTGGAAAAGTAGCATCATCTATAGCATTATGCAAGGGTGAAGAGGTATCATAGGTGCTTCAGAGAAATCTTCCTTGTACAAAGGGAATTTCTGACTTTTAAGAAAGATTTTCACTGGATAGCATGAGGTTTTATATCAAGTGATTTAGAACGGCTTAGCCTAAGTGACTAGGAAGCATGTTCTGGGTAGAATCATAAATTATTTTGAACTTGCAGCAGGGGAAGAGCTGGGTATACTTTTTTCAGGCATGAATGATCTGAATTTCAGAGCAGCAGAGCAGAGGCTAATCAGCTGCCAGGGGGTGTGGCCTGGTTTCTGGAGGAGAGAAAGGCAGCAGGAAGGTCTATGATCTAACAGTAGTTATACTGATATTTGGAAATAAGGCAGTAGTCACCACCACCCCCATACACCCCCCCCCCATACACATATACACACATAATACAAACTCAATGCTCTATTTTCTTAAATAGTTCCTTAGTAGTCTAGGCTATTATTGGAACTTTCATTATACTACTTTTTGTTTGTTCTAAAGATTTTACTCAAATTTTTATTGTGTATTCTCAGAAGATCCATCTGTGTCCCTTTAAAAGTTACTTATTTTTATTTACATATTGTGAAGGAAGGTTGTAGAAGGATTTGAGATGTACTGAGTGGCCTGCCCAACTTTTCCATTTGAATTATATCTGCCCCTTTCTTTAATTAGGCTGCTGGTAACTGCGTAAGGATTGATGTGAGTTCCCAGGAAGATGAGAGCAATGCAAATGATTTCTGTCCATAGAGATGCAAATTGAAGCTGACAAAATGCACCTAAGAATATTGTCTGACTCTTTCCATTGTGCATTCTTTTGTAAATACATTTCCGAATTTCTTCTCTCATTATAAATGTGTGTGACTTAAATTCTCTTTGAAAGCATTGCACTTTTTTGTCCTCTTAAGTAATAAGATAATAGAAGTTATTTTTAAAAGGCATTTGGCGTGCTTTTCTTTTATTTGTAGAAGGGTTATGGTTTTGTTGTTTTTGGAAAATATTTTTTCAGGGTTTCTTTGGTGCTTGTCCTGGATCTCCCTCTGTAGACCAGGCTGGCCTCAAACTCACAGAGATCCACCTGGCTCTGCCTCCCAAGTGCTGGGATTAAAGGCATGTGCTACCACGGGCCAGCCTTTTCATGTTCTTTTATTTAAGACTTCAGCCTGGTTCTCCCAAACTCATTGCCTCAAAACATCATTGCCCGAAACTCCATCTCATCAGAGCTACATATTTCTCTTGGTCTCAGCTACTTCTCTTCTGTGGTCTCATAGCAGTTTTGATCAAGAGCGTCAGCTGAGCAAGAGCTGGAGTCAGGAGAGGGCAATTATTTCAAGGTCATCTCTCAGAACTCTTTCTATTTTTCTTTTTTTTTTTTTTCCTCAGAACTCTTCCGATCAGTTTTTAATGGCTATTTCTGGGTGTCTGATTATTTGTGCTTCAAGATCAGATAATTAATAAACCCCAAAGGAAGTGATCTTATAAACATCTTTAATTCTTGATCAACTTTTATTCTAGAAGAACATTGAATCAGTTATGGAATTAGGGAAGCCATTCCTAGATTTGGCACTGAAAAGGAATATGAAATAATAGCAGCAGAATCTATGCTAGATTTATTTATAACCCTGAATAAAGATAGTAATATAAATTGTTTAGATGTGGCTTGTTAGGTTTCAGTTTTAACTGTCTTTGATACATCTCCAACAAATTCTTCTAATTTAGATTGCCATCTTTGTAGCCCTAGTTCCCATGCAGTTATCAGATATGTATGTGTATATGTATATCTATACATATATGTATATGTCTGTCTATCTATCTATCTATCTATCTATCTATCTATCTATCTATCTATCTATCTATCTATCTATCTATCATCTGCACTACTAGTTATATTGTCAATGTTCCTCTGTCTCCATTTAGTTCATATGGTCTTGGTTTTACAGAGTCAATAAACATAACCCTTTTCTTTTAAGTGCTAGTAATATTATTGAAACATTTTATGTGAGCAAAACTCAATAATTTACTAAATAGTATGATTTAAATATATTATAATTTATTATCTAATCAATATCCTAACTGTAATTTCATGAGAATATGCCTATATACATACATATAGGCATATTCTAAAAATATTATACCTAAGCATATAATACAGATGGGCCTCATCACCACGTTTCATACATGTATACCATATATGCACACATAATGAGCCTTTCGCAATATAATCTAACTTCTTACAAGTTTTGTGATGGAACGATACGTAGGAGAATGTGCAAGTATGGTGGGGACAGTTGTTCCAAGAGTGTGTTATATCACCTCGCTTGTCTCCCTTGTAGTTCAGCACAGACTGAGTATTATCAGCTCCTTGCTAATATTCTGTTTACTAGAATATAGATGGGTTTACGAGAGCAGTTTTCAGAAAGGATCTTGTTTTCATTATACTAAAGAAAATGTGTCTTTTGACCTTTACCTTCTCCCCTCCTTTTGTCTGGAATGCCTTGTTCTTGATATGTGGGAAACCATATGGCAATCTCAGGCCGAGCTGACAGAGCAGGGAGGAACAAGGTGCTTTGGCTTCTGATGACTTCCTCCGGAAGGTGTGTTGTTTTACACATCTAACTGTGAATGTCATTGTATGTTAAGATAATAATAACTGTTTTTGTTCAAGTCCTCCTGTTCTGGATTTTTATTACATATAGTTAAATGAAATTTTTGTAAATAAGATTACATATATATATATATATATATATATATGCATACATACGTACATACATACAATACACACACACACACACACACACACACACACACACACACACACATACACACACACACACACACACATCCTACTGAGTCCACTTAGTGTTGCTCCTTGTATGTACATATGTTTAGGGCTGACTATTTTGGATTGTATAACCTATGGGGGAGCTCGATCCTGTGGAAAATTGATTTCCTCTGTGTTACTGATAAGGAATGATGATGAATTTGAGTGAGGAAGGTGCTGGAGGAGGTGGAAGCAGAAATGGGAAAGGGAAAGAGTGGGAATAATGTCATAAAATATTCACACATGAAATTCTCAAAAAATACACACTTTAAAAAATTAGAATTTTTAAATTTTTTATTCATACATTCATACATTTAAAGAATTTAAGACATAAATAAGAACATATTTCCCCTCCTTGCTCTTGATCTCCCTGTGACACTTCTGTATTAAATCTATCATTTCACTCTATTTTTATGCTCATCAATTTTATAAAAATATTTTGCTTTTGGATAATCGATTCTATTTTATATTGCTGGGCCAATCAATTGATTGAGTGAGTCCAAGAGGCAAATGCATTACTTGTATTTGGGAAATGAAAAGTGATTTAGATTTTTTTTTACCAGAGTTTTCAATCTTGCTTATTCATATGTTAGTCTTCCTGCCCACCTTAATAATAGAGGGATTATTTCTGGCCAACAGTGATGTTTTGTTGTTGTACTGAAGGATATGCTTATGTTGTGATTATTGAGCATTTGTTGGACAATGAAATGAAAAATATATGCAATTGAGATTGAAAGCAGTAGGTAAGTGGTTTGCAGCAGACTGCCCTTAGCATACTGATGACCTCAAGGAGCTGAAGTTTAAGCAGGAAGAGGAATGACAAAAGAAAAATCCTCTAAATACTTCATTCTCAGTGAAGTCTGTGTGTGGAGAAATGAAACACAACACGAAGGTCATAAGAATGTTTTTGCTGTCCTTGACATCTGGCCAAATGCCAGCAAGTAAGATGTTGAACCAACACTGCTCTTGTTTTCAGTTTTACCAGTGTCTTAGAGGCAGAGGTATGACTCAGAAGTTGGGAGTAATGAAAATTTAAATTTTTTAAAATAAATGAACTCATTAGCATAATCTACCAGACAGAGTGAGACTTTGAGAGAAAATACCTAGCTCTTACATCATCAAGCATTGTCTTTTTAGTTATACACACATGCAGACACACATACACACACACACACACACATACACACACACTATGTTTTTATCAAATGCAGTAAAGAGAGTGCATAGGCAAAAAGGTCCATTTGAAATGCATATGGACCATCAACTCATGTTTTCTCTCCTTATGAGGACACTGACTCTTCCAGAATATTACATGGCACAAACTTAAAAAGATGATTAATTTATGGGAAATGAATTTGTTGTACATTATCCCCCAAATGAGGAAAACTTTATTGGTTATCAGGAGATGGAAAGAATGTCCATGCTTATGGTTCAGTAGGGCTAATATAGTGAAAATAAACTTCTACCAAACTAATCTATAGATTCAATGCAATCCCTATCAAAGTTACAACACAATTCTTCACAGAAATTAAAATTACAATTTTCAGTTTCATATGAAAACACAAAATAAATAGGATAGTTAAAATAATCCTGAATAATAAAAAACTTCTGGAGGTATTCCTACTTGTGATCTCAAATTGCACTACAGAGCTATAGTAATAAAAACAGCATGGTAGGGTGAAGACCTTTTCCCATTTCATAGGCTGCTTTTTTGTCCTATTAATGGTATCCTTTGCCTTACAGAAGCTTTCAGTTTCATGAAGTCCCATTTTTTAATTGTCAGTCTTAGTGTCTGCTCCATTGGTATTCTATTCAGGAAGTTGTCTCCTGTTGCAATGCCTTCAAGGCTATTCCCTACTTTCTCTTCTAACAGGTTCAGTGTATCTGGATTTATGTTATCTTTGGTCCACTTGGACTTGAGTATTGTGCAGGGTGATAGATATGGATCTATTTGCCTTCTTCCACATGCTGACGTCACCATCTCCACAATGGACATAGGGCTGATTTCCAAAATATATAAAGAACTCAAGAAACGAGACATCAAAAAACCAAATAATCCAATAAAAAATGGGGTACAGATCTTAACAGAGAATTCTCAACACAAGAATTTCAAATGGCTGAGAAACACTTAAATGTTCAACATCCTTAGCTATTAGGGAAATGCATATCAAAGCAACTCTGAGATTCCACCTTACTCTTGTCAGAATGGCTCAGAACAAAAGCACAAGCTCATGCTGGAGAGGATGTGAAGCAAGGGGAACACTCCTCCATTGCTGATAGAAATGCAAACGTGTACAGTCACTTTGGAAATCAATAAGGTGGTTTCTCAGAAAATTGAGAATTGATCTACCTTAAGACTGAGCTATTCTACTCTTGGGCATATACCCAATCATACCATAAGGGCAATTGCTTAGTTATGTTCATTGCAGCTTTGTTTATAATAGGGAGAACCTGGAAACAACCTAGATGTACCTCAACTGAAGAATGGATAAATGTATTATATTTACACAATGGAATATTATTACTCAGCTGTTAAAAACAATGAAATTTGCAGGCAAATAGATAGAACTAGAAAAAAAATCATCCTGAGTGAGGTAACCCAGATCCAGAATGACAAACATGGTATGTTCTCACTTATAAGTGAATCTTGGATGTAAAGTAAAGGATGACCATGCTACAACCACAGACCCAGAAAGGTTAGGTAACAAGGAAGACTCGTTGGGGACACTCAGATCTCCCTGGGAAGGGGAAATAGAAGAATTTCATGGATGATCTCAAAGCTGGTGGGAATGGGAACACGAGGGATCAAGTGGGTGTGGGATGGAGGAGAGAGTATTGAAAGAGCAGAAGGGAAAGGGAGTCATTTCAGGGTTAGGTAGAAACCTGGTGCAAGGGAAACTCCCAGGAATCTACAAGGACACCCCCAGCTAAGATTCCTAGAAAGGGGAATATGTAGCCTGAACTGGCCACCTCTTGTGACTAGGCAAGAATACCAGTGGAGGGCTTA